TATCGAAAAATCCTCAACGCAATTTTTGCAAACAAAATCCTCAATCAGTGCTCTCTTAGCTGGCGCCAAGACTGAAGAAGAATACTTCCAAATTCTCAAAGATGTGGCGTCTAACTCAACATCTGACGCAGATTCCACGTTCCAAAACCATGACCCGGATGAAGAAGTGCTTGGTCCTTTGCCAACAAAGAACACTAAGTTGAAGACAAAGAAGAAGTGACCCCATTGCTTCTTCCACTATCATAAAGACAAAGAAGAAGTGACTCCACTTCCAACCCACTCAATTTGGTTATGGAAAGAAGACCACAAATTATCTATTTTTTTATATTAAAAATGTAATTTTGTTATGACATGTGACATAATCATATAAGTGTCCACATTGTCATCATTATGTTTTTCAATTTATTTATCAAAAGGGAACTCCATTTCTCTATAAAAGGAGACTCCCTTCACTTGTTGTAGTAGAGTTGTTTTGAGTGGGAATTGCTTTCTTGCAAAGCTTCCTCCCATCATCTTCTCTCAAGAATTCCTGTGTAAGAAGTCTATCAAACTATCAAGTTTTACTTCATCTTTTTCAAATCATCTTCAACTTTTATTTATTTCGTGCATAACTGGTCATCTCTAGTATTTACTTTTTGCTAATCTGGTCATCTCCAGTATTTACTTTTTGCTAATCTGGTTATTTCCTGTATCATTTACTTTACAAACTATTTTCAAGCTACCATATACCAGAATGGACCCTTGAAGGAACTACCATTCCTAGAAGCATCGACCATTGTCAGGTTAATCAAATTACTCAACATATTGATGGTACTATATATATATAGTAATAACTGGTTTACTCCAGGAGTATATTATATGGTAATATACATATTCAGGCTTCATTACACATGTTTCCACCCCATATTCTAGTGACGTTTGAGGTGTTTGCCTCTTCCGAGGTTCGATTTAACTCTAGGTTTGTGCATGTTTCAGGTTTTAGCAGGTGGAATTGACCTCCGGAGAGAAATTCGAACGAAAGAGGGCGAAAGCTGATTGAAATGGACAAATAGGCAAAGATCACGACTAAGGTGACATTATCATGGACATGAGACCGTGGAGATTTAGCCCCGATCGTTAATATTGACGACTTCGAGGAGCCTTTGCATGCCTTGCGGACAATTCAGTTGTCACGGTCAGTCAATAGTGAAAATTCTACCCTAGCCGTGAAGATGCTAAGTGGACCGATGCGTTTTTGCCCGAGGTCACAGACAGTCTTCTAAGATCACGCTCGTGACTTTTGACCGTGACTTCTGCCCAACTGGAGTACAAAAGGGGAAGAAAGCTGAAACAAAAATAGGAGGAATCTTAGCGAGATAGTGGTCTTCTTCTTCTTTTTCAGAAATTTGAGAGAGAAGGTGACGAACAAAGGAAGAATAAGAGGTTTAGGGTTTTCTCTTAGCTAGAGGAGTGAATATTTTCATATATCAAGGTTGATTTCATCAAGAAGGAAGGAAGACAAACATATCACAATGGTTCTTTATCTCCTTTGTTGTAATCCCTAGCCTAGCTATGGAGTAGTTCTCTTTCTCACTTAGGTATTGTGAACAGTAGCCTAAGAGATGTGATAGGTTGTATGGATTGAATGCTATGTGTGTGGGTTTGTATTTAATACAATGTTTGAGGTAATTTTCAGAATTCTCGAGTATTGTTCTTCATATCTCATAATTAGGTCAAATTGACCTTGGTAGAGGAAATCCCCTTTGAAGGCTTTAAGAAGCTGGATTTCTTGACCACTTGAATCCCTACCTACGAAAATTTAGGGCAAGCCTCAAACATAGATTTAGTGCCATGAACCTACCATAATTGGTTGTTATTTCTCCATCCGGATTAGATTTCAAGGGAGTGGTCTTAGCAACCCTTAGTCGATTAGTCAAGAGAGCTAGTTTCCTAGCTTAATTCGCTATTTCTTGATTAATCTTCTAAGAGAGTGGGGGTTCTCCACTAGTTACAACCTCCTCACGGTGTTTGAGAACACCTTTCGACAATAGCATTCCATTCAGTCAATCTTGATACAAGGTTAGGGGGGAGCAATACCCGAGTGAAGGCTTCTCATATTGAAACCACTTCAATTTACTTTCTTGCTAATTTACAACTATAGTTCTTTAGCTTTTAACTCCAAACCGTTTGCTAGATAACAAATTAAACGATTGAAGAAGGAGTACATAGACCACCTCAGGTTGACAATTAAAATGCTTGCCCTATACTACACCCGATCTAAAGTTTGCACTTGCACTTTAGTCGAGATTTGATTGTGTAGTTAGAACGAGTCATATGCTAAACTATAAAATGATTTTATACATGATTACATGATTTAGGAATATGCTAACCACCACTTCTCACATTTCAACACCATCTACTACCAATTAGGGTTGGAAGTTTGGTACTAGTCTCGAATACAGTACTGAATTTGTCGATGTTTGGTATTATCGAATACACATATTATTTCACGGGATTGAGATTATGATTGAATTTAAAGTGTTATTTGATATTAGGGATTATGAGATTAGGATGATATATACTGAAATATCGATGAATACCGAAATATAAGTTAGTGAGTCTTTTATTCCTCCCAACTAGGCTCTTACTCCCTACTACCAGACCCTCAACCGCCAATCACTTAATTATACGTAATTCATTCCTTCACTATTTAACAACCCAGAACAAGCTCATTTTGTTAAAGTATGTTTATAGGTGTCATATGCGTCCCTTGTTTCGGTTTGTTGCTTTAGTTGTTAATATGCTTCTTAGACCACCCATTATGGTTGGGAGGGAAAAATGGGTGGGTTGGGGGCAAAATGTGGGTTTTTTGGGTTTGGAGATGGGAAGTCTCACAATGGGTTGAGAGGGAAAAGTGGAAGCGGTATTTTTTGATGAAATCAATTTAGTGTTGATTTTTTCACTTTAGTTAAATAATTTCATCGTTCTTTTTATATAGGAACTTTGTGATATAATTTTTTAATTTGAACATAATTTTTTTCATCACAATTAAGTATGTTCTATGTATTGTATGCTAAGTTTATTTGTAATGTGTGCTAAGTTTGTTTGTATTGTGTGCTAAGTTGATGGTATGTGTTTAGATTGTTGTATTTTTTCCTATTACATCAATATATAGTTTGTATTGTGTGCTAAGTTGATAGTTAGATCAAATATAAAGGCATCTATGGTTTAGGAAAATCAAAATAAAACACAAAATAAAAAGTAAATTAAACATAAACAAAAAATTGAAAAAATAAAAAACAGAAGGAAAAACAATTTTCGGCCGACAACCCCCTTCTCCCCTTCCTTTATCCTCTTGTGAGGATAAATCCTCCGAGAAAACCTTCATTTTTCTTCTTTCCCCCATTACCCCTCCCATTGTCAAACTTCACTCCCAAAAGTTCCTTCTTTTCTATGTTTTACCCCCTTACAATTAGGACTAGAAGTTTGATACCGATATTTGGGATATACAGAATATTGTACTGAATTTATCTATATTTGGTATTACCGAATACACGTATTATTTCTTGGAATTGGGATTGGGATTCAATTTCAATTGTTATTCAGTATTAGGGATTACGGGATTGGGATCGGTATATACCGAAATACCCAACAATACCGAAATATAAGCTAATGTGTATTTTATGCTCTCAACTAAACTCTCTCATTCACTACTACACGACCATCAACCACTAATTTATTGTTATTTTCATAACACCAAATAATAAACACTAGTATTACTCTTCTCCTAGCCTCCAATTCATCAAATTAAAGATTACCAATGACAAAAACTTGAGATGTCACCTCTCCTCCATTCTCCTTATCCATATCCTATCTCTAGCCAAACTCAAGACTCTTTGCTTAATCTCTTTGTCCTATATTAAAAATCAAATCTAATTTATATATTTAATTATTAATTGCAAATGTAATTAATTTCTTATTCAATAATACATATTGGGATATCAAAATATATAGGGATTGGGATACCGAAATTATTTAGGGATTGGGATTGGGATTGAATTTAGGATGTAATTCGGTATTCGGGATTTTGGTATTTGGTATTGGGATACCGATACCGTACCGATTTCCACCCCTACTTATAATGGGTGGTCTTAGGTACATAATAATGGAAATGGGGTAGTCTACGCAGGTATCTCGATACTCATACCTGCTCCGTGGCAGGTCGGGTTCATTTGAGTAATTTATCACGGGGCGCGGGTCGGGACAGGTGGATCCAATGAGTACATAATTTATATGGAAAGCATTAGAAATATTCGTTATTTTCATTATAAGATTAAGAAACAAATCATAATATGATAAAATGTAGTTAAATTATTGGAGAAATTGAGGTTTTCACTAATTTACAACTTTATAATAGCTAAAATATGATGTAATGAAAGGAAAAATGCTAAGTAATTTGACTAAGATTACATGTAATTTAGGCAACAACAGGTCGAGAATGAGACGGGTCAGGGCAAGTTGGGTCTATGAGAATACCCATGCCCGCCCCAAAATAGGTCAAACAGGTCGGGTAAAATGGGCCAGGTAGAAATTGTCATTCCTATAGGGTATAGGTACCACATCTCCCTAGTTTGTTGTTATTATACTTTAGATTTTTTCATTTATTTTATACGATTATTAGTAATGTTATTTGCTTTCATATATTTTCATAATGGTTTGTGGAGCTGCTAGCATATTAGTATTTGCTTTTATATAATTGATTGGTAGTTTTAAAGGGTAGTGGCAGAGCCACGTTGATGTGAGTAGGGTTGGTATTCGGTATAATCGGGTACCGAACCGGTTACAATCAGTATTCGGTACACCGAATACCGGCGGTATCGGTATTCGGCTGCACTTCTTGGCCAAACGGTATACCGAATACCGATTAGTTATATACCGACGGTAAATCGGTAATACCGAATACCGAATTACAAAAAAAAAAGACAACGTAGCGCAGTAGCGGAATTGGGGAACCCTAAATGGCTAAATCAAATCAATGCCCCCGCGGCCCGCCCTCCACCTCGTCTCCTCTGTTCCTCTCCATCCGCCTCAGAAGTCGAAACCCAGCGGCCAGCATCGGCAGCTAGCACGCCGCGGCGCCGCGCTCCACCACCACGCTTCGTCTGTCTTCCTCTTCGCCAACAGCAGTCGCCAGCAGCAGTCCCTGAACCCTGCCCCAAAGTTCGGAAGGCGAAAGTCGTCACTCAAAACCCAGCGCTAGCCACCATCTTGTCGCGGCGCCGCGCTCCACCGCCACGCCTCATCTGTGTTCCTCTTCGCCAGCAGCAGTCGCCAGCGCCGAGCCCTGTCTTCTTCTTCTCTTCACTTTGCCATTGCCCAGCACCAGCAGGCAGCAGCAGTCCCCGTGTCTTTCTTCCTCTTCTCTTCTCGAGGGCAGAGAGTGCTGGTAAAGGAGGTAATGATTCCCATTTCCTCCCCATTCTCAGTTGATGATTCCCATTTTCCAGCCACCCTTGATGATGATTCCCTCCCCCTACTGATTTGCTAACTTTCTTTTCTTGATTTTGGTGAATGGACGAAGGTAATAGGCTCTTTCTCGAGGCTATAACAGCAGCCAACTCTCAAGTCTCAACAATCAACACGAAGAACTAGAAGAAGCAGCATCAGCCATCAAGTAGCATGTGAGAAGTAGCATGTGTGAATTAGATGACTTAGATGATATTGTGAATTTTGATTGTTATTTTTAATTGAGGGTGGTGAGTGGAGGAGTGCGAGAGAAGGGGATGGGGATGGGGGAAGAAGTAAAGAATCGAGGGTTAGAGTAGAGAGGGGAAAGTTGGGGTTGGAACAGAGGGAAGAAGTAAAGAATCGAGGGGTAGAGTAGAGAGGGGGAAGTTGGGGTTGGAGGTTTCCACTTTCCATTTGCTTTGAACTTGGAATTGGTGGGAGTTTTGTTTGGTTGCTTATTAGACATTAGTGATGCCGTGATTTATGCAACGGTTTACTGCTTTTTGTTTGTGTTTGTTTAAGCTTGAGTTTGATCATATATTCATATGTCTTTTCTTTTGCTAGATTGGAGCATTTGGTTTTTAATTTTTATTAACATATCAAAGTCAAATTGTTATACTTTTGTAGGACAAAACCCTCTCGTGGTCGTTCTCGTGGAGGAGGTAATTCGAAGGGTGGATCCCTTCCTCCTCGTTCCACTTCTAAAAAAGGAAGCACTTCCAAAAAAACACCTTCTACTAGTGTTACTAGGACTAATGTGGATCCTTCTCCATCCGCAACTGAAGCAAGTGCTGCAAATCCAGCACCTACCACAAGTGTGGCAAATCCAACCCCTATGGCTGCCACAAATCCAACACCTACTGCAGGTGGTGAGCCAAAGGAAAATGTGAAGAAGAGAGGAGGAAGGAAGAAGACATCGAAGTGGTGGGCTTATTTTGATTATGTGTTGGTGGACGGCTACCCAAATGGCAAATGCAAACAATGTGGTGCTTTGATCAAATCACTTTCCACCAACAATGGGACTAGTGGCTTGAAAACTCAACGCTTGGCATGCGAGAGGAAGAGGAAAGAAGCAGGTGGTCAGTCATTATAGAACTACCAACCTGGGGATGGTGAGGTAGGCTCTCTTACTCCATGGAAGTTCGATAAAAAAAAAGCTAGGACGGCATTAGCTATCATGATAATACTAGATGAGCTTCCATTTAGATTCGTTGAGCATGAAGGGTTTAAGAGATTTATGGCTATAACACAGCCTTTGTTTGTGATTCCTGGAAGACAAACAATAAGGGAAGATTGTTACACCATATTTCTTAAGAAGAAAGAGTTGTTAACTGAGTTTTTCAAGATGAATTGCAAAGGAAGGATTTCAATTACCACAGATACTTGGACTTCTGATAACAATCAGAATTTTATGTGTGTGACTGCTCATTTTATTGGGAGTGATTGGAAGTTGCAGAAGAGGATAATTAGTTTTGTTCTTATCACTAGTCACACAGGAAAAGATATTGCAGAAAAGTTGGCAGCATGTCTAGAAGAATGGAAGGTGCAGAATTAGTTCATCATTAAAATGGACAATGCCTCCTCTAATGATGTCCTTGTTGAGTGCATGAGAACAAAGTTGAAAGAGTGGGGATCGAATTTGATGAATGGGAAGTTCTTACAATTTCGTTGTGTGGCACACATAATAAATTTGGTTGTTTCTGATGGGCTAAAGGAAGTTGGACTTGCTGTATAGAGGGTTCGTGATTGTGTGAAATGGGTGAGGTCGTCACCAGCTAGGAGTGAAAAGTTCAAATCTACTATTTCATTTCTTGAAATGGATGGGAGAAAACTAGTGTCTTTGGATGTTCCAACTAGGTGGAACTCCACCTATTTGATGTTCGAATCTGCAGAAAGGTTCGAGGTTGTGTTTAACTTCATGCATTCAAGTCCAAATGGTGCTTCTTTTTGAGATTATGTTGATTCGAAGAAGGGTCTACCAAGCAAAGAAGATTGGTGCAGTATCAAATTTTCAAATTTTCAAAGAATATTGGTGAAGTTCTTTTATGATCTAACCCTTCATGTTTCGGGTATGTGAATATCAAATTTTCAAATCCATTACCATTCCTTTTGCTAATTTATCTTATATTAAAGTGAATAATCATGAGTTACAAATTATACTGTTATATCTACCTTGTATCAGGAACATCATATATGACTGCACATACATTCTTCAAGGCCATTGTTGATATTTTGAAGTGATAACAACATAGAAGACTGATATGGATGAGCAGATACAACAAATGGCAATCAGATTGAGGCTAAGGTACGCAAGTATTGGTTTGAACATGATGAGGAGGAGGAGGAAGAGAACCTAAAGATAAATAGACTAGTTTACATGGCATGTGTGATGGATCATAGGCGTAAACTTGCATATCTATCTTTTATGTTGGATGCTATGTATGGGAAGTCTAAAGGAGAAGCTTTGATAAAGGAAGTAACTGCAGACATGACTGATATGTTTGAGATTTACAAATTGAAGTGTTCATCTCCATCATCTGAGACCACTATTCATCCTACTCCTACTGTGAGTGATGCTAGTGTTGGTGCTACTGGTACTAGTGTTTTGGGAGGGAAATATGATGCTGAGTTCAGGAAGAGGAGAAAGGAGCAACTTCAAAAGGGGGTTCGAGGTAGTTCTGAATTGGACATCTATTTAAGAGATTTTGATGATGCTATTAACGAGGATGATGATGATAAGAAGTTCAACATTTTGAAGTGGTGGTCTCGGAACAGTGTTAGATATCCCGTCCTTTCAGAGATGGTTAATGATATCCTGGCAGTTCCAATCTCCTCAGTTGCCTTAGAGTCTGCTTTCAGTTGTGGAGGTGGAGTGCTTAGTCCGTTTAGGTCTTCTTTTAACTCTAACACTGTAGAAGCCTTGATTTGTGCCGAAGATTGGATACAGTATGAATGTGGTAAGAATTCAGGCCAAGTTGATAATAAAGAAGAAGATCAAGAACAGATTGATTATGAAAGAGGTAATAGTTCTTATTTGTTTTTAGTTATTCACTCACTTTATTTCCAAGATAATTGATGAATTCTAACAATTTGTTTTTTCCCCTTAAAATTAGTCACTAGTACCTTTGAAGCTCGAATGGAAAGTGTAGGTGATATGCCAAGTGAAGGTAGAGAACATAATGTATCCATTGCAGTTGAGGAGGAGGATGGTGATTTAGAAGATTCAGAAGAAGAAGAAGAAGAGGAGGAGGAGGAGGATGAAGCGGAGGATGATAATGATGTTCTTCTCAACACTTTGAAGAAGCAAGGTTGTGCTGATGTTGGCGGTTCGGGCCATATTAGCGATGGAGGAGCTAGTGGTCAATCTTAGTGTTGTAGTTATGCTATCTTTATGTTGAATAATTTTATTTTAAGTTGGAACTTGTAAGTGTAACTTATGTTGTGAGAGTGAGACTATGTTGATTGTTGGATGATGGAATTTGTGAATTATTTCATGTTTGAGACTATGTACTTATGTCTTATGTAGTAGTAATGCTATATTTATCTACTAACTACTTGTGTAGAATGTAGTTAACATTAACAATGTCATTGCCTAATGGAGTATTGGACTATTGGTAAATCGTTAATGATAAGTGAGTTGTACTTGTAAGCTGTAAGGGTCTATTAGATAAACAACTAATTACTAATTACTAATAACTAATAATGAATTGTTGATTAATAAAACTTGCTAGACGATAGCAATATAATATAGTAATAATTAATAAACGAACAAAATTATTTACATCATTTAATTAAACAACATTCAGAAAAATAAAAAGCACAAAAAGCCCAAATCAGCCCACCCGATATCGGTATTAAATCAGTATACCGGCTCAAAAACGTAATCTCAATGCATTAACCGGTATTTGGTATGCCGGTATTAATACCGGATACCGACTATTCGGTATTCGGTATACCGGCTAACATTCGGTATCGGTATTCGGTGGGTACACTGTCTGTTTCCGGTATACCGAATACCGGTTAGTCGATATCCGGTATACCGGATACCGACCGATTACCAGCCCAAGATGTGAGTGGAAGTTATATCCCGCTAAACTCTCAAAATCATGTAAAATTACATGTAGATTTTGTAATAAATTTGAAAAATATATTAGTTGGTAAGACTTTCACCCCTTCCCTCGCAAGTTCAAATTCTCTAAGCTTAGATTTTTAGGCACCTTCGTTCATATTTCTGGCTTTGCGACTATTGAAACGAATTAATTTGGTATTTGGCATATGTCGATAACAAATAAAATATTAGAGATTGAAATACCAATTTATTTTGGGATGAATATTAATTTGGAAGCACTATCTAACATTCGAGATTTCGATTTTCAACCTATATCATATCGATTTTCACTCCTACCCAAGGTTCAAGAAGGCGCTAGGCGTAAGCCGGGCGTTGAGGCTTTGCCTAGTACCTAGCTCGCCTAGGCGTAGACTAAGCGTGCCTAGACATTAGAAGAAAAGTAGATATTCGCACTGCATGATGAATGAAATTATAATCTACAACACTTCCTCACTTCAGTTAAAATGATTAATAACTTACTCAACACTTGATAACAAGAACATAGTTCACGAATTCATAGAATCATATAGCTCAATAGCTCACAAAGTTTTTGAGCTATTGAAAATATTGATATAGAAAATTGATTTCGTAGTTTACATTAATTTGCTCCTTTAATATTTACTTCCTAGCTCCATCAAGTTATGTTTAGGAGAGACTTAGATATCGCCTTACTCCATTGAGGTGTTCCGGTATCTAACTAGGCGCGAAACCCCTAGGTAAGACATTTTTCCATTGCCTTGTATCTAAGCGTCTTTAAGTGTGCCTTTTTGAACCATGCTCCTACCCATTTACTTGCATGAACAAAACAAATCCAAAACTGACCCACAAATAGAAAAAGTGAAAAAATTAATATGAATAATATACCCTCTGTGATTAGGGTAAACAAACACACTCGTAAACTGACCATCCGTCCAACCCGACCCAACTCACCCGTATTTATCGCTAAAACGAAGTTTTTGGTTGGGTGAAGGTTTTCTTTTGTACAACCCGCCTCTATTGGGTTGGGTTTGGAGTTTGGATTACACAACTCGTAGAACCCCGACCCAACTCGTGTTTCAACTATTGGTAGGAGTTCGTATCCAAAAATATTTATGTCATATATTATGCGAAAATTAAGATATTTCACCATATTTTTCTCTCATGGTCTCCCTAATCTAATGCATTCTTCGGCTTAAAGTTTAGACATAAATTTAATATAGCTATGATTCACGTAATCCTTTTTCTTGTGTACAATTTTAATAGAATAACATATTACGGGTGCATTGGTTTATAACCTTTTTAGCCTATTTCAACAAATATCGTGAAAAAAAAACTAGACATATGTTGAAGTAAATCACATTATATTAAAACTGAAACAACATTTGTGAAATTTGATACCTTTCACCTCGGTTTATTCGTTTGAAATTTAGTTATTAATAAAATATTTTTTATGGTATAAAATAATTACATATTTTGTGTTGGGTTGTGCTTTTACTTAAAAATATAGTCAACCCGACCCAACCCAATCAGAAACAAACCGTAAAATTTAAATTTTTTTGGATGGATTTGGGTTTAATATTTCTCAAACCGTAGTGAATAGATCGGGTGATTAAAATGGTTAAACCCGAACCACCCGACCCATGCACACCGTATCTGTAATTGTGTTCTCGTCCATCCCCGTCTCTCATTTGTCAACCCATATGCCGCATTCTGATTGGTTCTCCCTATCTCTTCTCTTAGTTTAAACTTTAAACAAACAAACAAAATAAAATAATAATAAAACACCGCCATCCACTGATAAATATCCAAACAGCAAACTCTCTTCCCTATCAGCAGCTTCCAAAATCCCCAAAAGGCCAAAATCCTTCATCTCCAGAATTGTCCATTCCAGAATTCCCCGTTTCTTTGTCTCTCTACACAAACCAATTTTCTCCCCTCATTTGCCTCCAATCCCAGTTTGAATCTTGCTAATTCCTTCAAAATCTTAACAGCCATGACCGCCGAAGAGTTCCCGGAGCTAATCCCGGGCTTGCCGGAGGAGATAGCCATGGAGTGTCTTATCCGATTACACTTCACAGCTCACGGCGTCGCCTCCGGTGTCTGCCGCCGGTGGCGCCAGCTGGTCCGCAGCAGGGAGTTTTACTACCACAGGAAACAAACGGGCCATACCCGGAAGGCGGCCTGTCTAATTCAGGCGCTGCAGGCCCCGGAGTCGGAACTGGCGGTGGGCAAGCCGGTCGGGCCTGCGAGATACGGGGTGTCGCTGTTCGACCCGGTGAGCGGGTCGTGGGAGCGGGTCGACCCAGTTCCCGATTACGCGGACGGGCTGCCGCTGTTCTGCCAGGTGACCAGCTCGGAAGGGAAGCTGGTGGTGATGGGCGGGTGGGACCCGGTGGACTACCACCCGGTGAGCCACGTGTTCGTGTACGAATTCACCACCCGGAGGTGGAGGCGGGGGGAGAGCATGCCGGCGGCCCGGTCGTTCTTCGCCGCCGGCGAGTGGGACGGGAAGGTGGTAGTCGCCGGCGGGCACGACGAGAACAAGAACGCGCTGAAGAGCGCGTGGGTGTACGATGTGAAGGGGGATGAGTGGAGGGAGCTGGCGGCGATGAGCCAGGAGAGAGACGAGTGCGAAGGGGTGGTGATCGGGTCGGAGTTCTGGGTCGTGGGCGGGTACCGCACCGAGAGCCAGGGCGAATTCGAGGATAGCGCCGAGGCGATCGACCTCTCGGGTGGCGCGTCGGAGTGGAGGTGCGTGGAGGGGGTGTGGAAGGCCGGGCAGTGCCCGAGGTCGTGCCTCGGGGTGACGATCCCGAAGGGCGGGAAGAGCGGGGGAGGACTGGCGTTGTTCAACTGGGCCGAGGTGGGCGGCGGAGCGGTGAAAGTGGGGGCCTGCGGGGTCCAGCTGGGGGGCGGAATGACGCTGGTGTCCGGGTCAGCGTACCAAGGTGGGCCACAAGGGTTCTATGCTGTGGAAGGGCAAAATGGTAAATGGAACAAGGTGAGTGTGCCTCGTCAGTTTGCCGGGTTCGTACAATCCGGATGCTCCGCCGAAGTTTGAGAGCGAAAAGTGGCCAGCCGTACTGTATTATCGTTTCGGCATCTACGACTGCTAGCTTTATCTTTTCCACGGCATCTTTTTCTTCTTTTTGCCTTTTCACCGTTCCAAGATTTGGGTTGAGTTTCTTTCACGCAAACGAGGAGCCATGGCCCATGTGTATGTGTTGTGTGGCTCGCTTGATGTACTTATGTAAGTATGTATATTAATACCACTGTCATCTTTCATATATGAAAGTTGCCATCGCATCTCGCTACACTGTGAGCAGGGAAACATGGCACCATCCGGCTTTGAATTGCGCATTGGACAAAAATGAATCGCTGAACATTTAACTTTAAAAAGTTTGGTCACTGAAATTAGTTTATTCCATTCATGGTCACTAAAATTAGTTCAACAGTTCAAATTTGGTCACTCTACGTTAACTTTCGCTGACGTGTCTGTCAACTCTAATAGTTAACCGTTAAATGTATGACGTGGCAATTACAAAATAAAAAATAAAATAATTTATAATTTCCACCTCATTATCACTATCATTAAAAACAAAAAATTATTTATTTTAATTTCCTAAATCTCACGAACTAACCTTTACCTATTTCTCACTATCGCTCGACCTAGATTTCTAGCCTTCAAATCCCTAATCCTAGGCCGCGACGAAGGGATGGCGACAGGCAGCAACAAGAACTTCCGACTGGAAGTGGTGGTGATTGTGACCACCACCGGCGCCGACAGCGCCACCGTCATAAGCGAGGACCAGCGCGTGATCACCCTCCCCCATGAGCCAATGCTGAGCAAGGACACCGTGCAACCCTGAATCCCTCCTCCTCCGCCGTCACGATGTCACTGTTGCCTCCTCCTTACAACGCTTTTCCACTTGCCCAATTCCTTCATCTCCACAAGCACCCGGACCTCTCCATCCGCACTCTCCCTCGTCACCCTCCTAGATCTCCCTCAACAAAGTCAAACAATAGTGGGAATTGGGTAAATTGTGAAGAAGATAAATAAGAGAGAGAAAGAGATTAAGAGAGGGACTAGCAGAACACAAACCAATTCATTGCCATTGCAAGTAACAGAAACCATCCTAGAAGACTCATTCTTGGAGCTGAAATCCCTTCACTTCCTTGAATTGCCGGCGGCGTCGACGCCACGATGGTCCGTCACCGGGGATTCCTCAGCGGACCCATCTGGATGTCCAATTCCAAACCCAATTGCAGCAGCAGCGGAGGCTAAATTGCCCACTCGGAGGCCCAACCCACCAGCACCGGCTTCCACATTGATCCCCTAAAATGGCCAAATCTCAAAGCAAGGACATCCCGTTCACTTGGTTATCCATGGACGGATGGTGAGCGCGAAGGAAGAATCGTCCTCGATTGGGTTAGGTTGGCGATGTGGAGATGGTGGCGGATGCTAGCAGAGAAGATGGGCGGTGGAGAGGACGACAGGGAGCTTCTCGACGGACATGGCCTGGACCTCGAAGGTTCTTCGTTTTGGGGGGTTTTGGAGGAACGATAAAGATTTGCAGGTGGAGAAACGGACGGGGAATGTTATGGGAATAAAAATTATAATTATAATTTTCTTAGGTTTTTATTTATTTTATAATTTATTGTGAAAATGAGGTGGAAATAATTAAAAATTAATTTTTTATTTTTTAATTGTCACACACATTTAACGGTCAACTATTAGAGTGGACTGACACATTTAACGGTTAATTCATAAGACACAAGTAATGTCCCTAGCCAAACGAAGTTGACACACATTTCGCAAGCATATGGATCACAACTACTAAACACAGCACTGATCAATTATAGTCATCCACTGCAACTATGCTACACATTCTTCTCACATTTAGACACAAACCTAAACTCCTCCGTCCCTCCCTGCAACTCCCAACTTAGATAGAGACACAAGTACTAGTCGAAGCTCCGGCTCCTGCTTCTGTCCATGTAAGGAGACCTCGACTTCGAGTAGGACCTCTCCCTGTAGCTTCTCTCCCTTGGAGATATGGACCTATACTTCCCGCCCCTTGGAGATGGTGACCTTCATTGACCCCATTCAGAAATAACAAACAAAGCACATCAATGTTTTTTTAACCAGTCAGTCTGTTTATAACAGCACATGGATATGATAAACGGGAGCAAGAAGACTTACCTAGAGTATCGCCTTCCTCTAGGAGAACGGGAATAGTATTGAGGGCTCCTGGAATACCTACTATGTCTATACAGTGGTGAGCGTGACCTCCTGCGCTCGCTGTCACGACCCCTGAACACACATACAACATGTGCCATTTAGTGTTTTGTCTGAAGAGAATCATCATGCCTTACGAATATGGAGGGGCACATTCAAGGACCATAATGCATAATATGTGGTCATTGTTCAAACAAACTTTGATTACCTGCCACGGTCTCTGGCCCTCATTTCTGAGGGCTTCTTTCGGTTTTCCTCGGCAAAAACAACTGTTAGTTCCCTCCCAAGAAGAACTTCACCATCCATGTTGTACTTTGCTTCAGCAGCATCAGCAGGCTCTACAAACTGGATAAATCCAAACCCACGAGGCTGCCTGCATCAGAATTTAAGAGCACAAGACAATAACTGGCGTAAATAAACGTACATAATTCACAAGCATGCCAACCACAACATTGACAAATTAAGATTCTGCTTCTGAATCCTGACATGCCGAGGACCATATGACAACTAGCATCCGATTCATCATACCATTAAAGCAAAATGATTATGCATTTGCTGACCTTGGTTGAGTAAAAAATCTAATTGGGCCTTCAACACTTGAACTTCAACCCAACTTCCCTTCAAACTTCCTTTATCTTGATGTACACTATGACCACCGAGAACAGTAGTCTTAATACTTGAATGGTGCCTTCAAGTACTGTTATAACTTCATTCTTGTCTTTCTCTTACTACTTCATTTTTGTCTTCAACACTTTCAATAAAAACAGCCACATTCCCATAAACCGATAATTAATAAGAAGATACACACCCCGGCATCATCATACAATGGTGAGAAAGGTTGCCCATGACCAACAAGTCAATAGATTTAAATACATAGCTTCAATATCAGCCTGTCTCGGATGGAACAGAACTAACACCAAGATTATAACACTTACCCTGTATAATAGTCACGAGGCAGATAGATGTCCTTCAGAGGACCAAATTGGCTAAATGGTCCACATAGATCTTCAGGGCTGCGTTATGGATGGGAGAAAAGGGGGTATAACATCAGCCAGATCGTTGTTTTGATCAACATACATGCACAAGGAAATACATCACATCATTTTTATTATACTCACACAAGTATGGGATGGCCAATTCAAGAATAAATGTCAGGATTCAAAGCGGAAAAAAAGGTTCACTAGTAACCTGCAGTCATGTCTAAGGTTGCGAACAAGGAGACTGGTTGGCAGATCCCTGCTGCGACCACTATAACGCCCCCTAGGGCTAGGACTTCTGCGTCTTCTACCATACCCTCTAGTTGGAGAGGGACTGTAACTGTAGCTTCTTCCTCTCATTCCTGCTTGATGTCACAATCTAAACCCAGCAAGGGATAGAAATCAATAATACATACAATATAAACATCGCATTGGACAATCTAAAATGTTCGACCATACACTCATTCATAGCCTAGGAAGCATCATTGTCAACATCTGGAACTAATTTCCAGACTGAAACATATAACTCTCTGCACAGTGAATCCAACGGGAAGGCAAGAAACTCACATTCAATTAACGTACAAGTTCTAACCCGATGATCCGATTCTCCAAAATATCCAAACTTCTCTTGGTAGATTCAATATGGTGTTCCGATAATTCCTAAAACCAAACCAAGAAACCTAGTGGAATTCAAACTCTCATTCTCTACGCCGCACCAGGAATTTGAAACCAGACTACCTCCTTCCGCGCAAGAAATACAAAATCAAATTTCTGGAGAGAAGGCTCTAAGCTGGAAAAGCAACCAAAACTATAAAACAACTTCCGCCGAGACGTATTGAATCGACTAACAAAACAAACAAGCCATGAAAAAGAAGATAAAAGGGAAACACGAAAGTAGACCCTCATAAATGGCGGAGACCGAGATATCGACCTGGGATTGCGGGCGGTTTGCAGCAGCTGGCTTCGCCTTCAAGCTCGCCAATTTCGCTTGGAGATCGAGGTGGACAAACGAGAGAGACAGAGATGCGGGAAAGCCCCTTCATCCTTCAAGTCTCCACGAATTCCAGAAGCTTCAGACAACTGCTATTCGTCGTCGTATGAATCGCTAAAATTTCGGGCCCATTACGAGAAGCTCAAATCCGATCGCAAGAATACCAGCTATATACATAAATCAGGTCCATTTTGTCATTAGCTTAAACGGGCTCGGCCCTGCTCGCCATAGCTAGGGCTCTGTCTTTCTTCTTCCCTAAACAAAACCCCTTGAAAAACCCTCTCTTCCATTTTCTTCCAGTCAAGTTCCGTTGTACGTGGGCACCGGGCCGTGCCGCCCACGGGGTAGCACGGCACGGTTAGAATACGGCACGAGCACTGCACGAAATAAATGAGCCGGTCCGGCCCGAGCACGAATAATTTATTGGCCGTGCCGGATCTAAACTTCATGGGCACGAGCACGGGCACGACACGGTATATGAGTGGGGCATGTCGGGCCTAATATTTTCGAGACTTAATGAGTATAAGTACGGACATGGCACGAAATAATATTTATTAGATAGAAAATACCTATAAAAAGAATTATAAGTTCTAATATTACAAAACACAAGTAGAAAAATATGTATTTGTTGTTGTTAGAAGTGTTATAAAGATATATACGTAATTACTAACATAAGTAAAAATGGACAAAGAATTAAACAAAGCAAAATCACACTAGCTATACTTCCAATTTTCTTTTTCCCCTTATTTGTTACTTTTCTCAAACATTATCGGTTAATACTATCTTCCTCCGTCTAATTTTCACCTTCTTTTTCATTCTCTATTTTGTTTTCGTCCTTTTCATTAAACACGAATGCGAGCATGACACGAACACGAATAGGAACGGCACGATTCGAATCGTGCCTGGGCCTGGGCCGGGCCTAGCAAAGTTAACAAATGGGCTTGCATGGCACGACACGAAAACTAACGGGCCGTGCCAAGCACGACACGGAATAAATGGGCCCGAAGCGTGCTCGTGTCGTGCCGGCCCAAGCACGGCCGATCGCCCATGTACAAGTTTCGTTTTGCAAAACGAAGAAAATTTCACCGGCCGAGCCATAGTCCTTCTTCTCAACCTAATTAAACTACTCACAAGGTAAATTGTGAGTATATACTTACAGAGATATGGAAAAGGGGGCCCAGAAATTAAAAAAAGGTTAACCCATTTTCACTATCCAACTACAGAGAAAAGGGAGCCCACAAGTTAAAAAAAAATCATATGCGAGTCTCCTCCTCTCTTTCCATCACTTCGTCAGAATAACACATCTACACAAAACAAATATCCAAACCACCCAGAATAATATCCGTTCACCATAACAAATATCCTCTAAGACCAATATCTTGTGAGCTCATAGTTAATATCCTCACCATAGAGACTAATTACCCACCACACACAGACTAATATCTGACAATCGCAAACAAGTACCCATGAAGAACAGATTAATATCTGACCATCACAGACAAATACCCACGACGAACATATTAATATCTGATCATCGCAGACTAATACCAACTACACATATCCGAACCATCTAAACTATTCTCCATTCATTGCAAACTAATATTATTGTTTCATGAGCCGAAGGCCCATGGGCCCTCGGCGGGCAACCCTAACTAAGATTGCAAGCCTTATGCGTTAAGATTTGATAGTGTGTTTAATTTTGATGGAAAACACCATATCCATTACTTCGCAAACTAATATCCATCGCATGAACATCATTATATCCTATCATCACATACTAATATTAGTAATAAAAAAACAATCTATCACTAACCAATATCCATTACAAAAAAAAAAAATGAAAGAGAGAGAAAAATGGTTAGAGAGTTAAACGTGATTGGGAATTTAATGGACCATCACTTCTCCTTTCTTTTTTTTACCCTTTTCCCTTATCTCTGTAAGTATCTACTCACAACTTACCTTGTGAGTAGTTTAACTTTTTCGCTTCTTGCAATTGTGCAGAATGGCAGCTCCTTAGTCGAAGAAGACAACCCAGAACAGGAATTCTAAGGAAGCTCCAAAGTTCAATAAGGCTTCGGAGAAAGAATATAATGCTAAGAAAAAGGACCCCAGCAATGGCGTTCCCAACTCTGAAGGTCTTTGCAGCTAGAAGATGATGTCCCGGACTTCCCCCGAGGTGTGTGCCCGTGTTCATTGTCGGCTTATTTTTACTGGGCTATAATTTTGGTTTTGGTTTTAGAGGTAAACTTGAGTAGAAAGGTCCAAATATAAGCATTTAACCGAGTTCGGATCATGTGACTAGGGGGTGTTTAGTCAAGTTCCAACCCTTAGATTTGGACACAGCAATATGATGGTTAAAAAGTGGGAAGAGCTATTTAATTAATGACAAAGGTATTTTGGGTATTATGGAAAATTACGAAGTATACAAACCAGACTTACAATCAGTACAAACCATACAAACATACGAACAATACAAACTACCACGACAAAACATACAAACAGATTTCCAAAGATTACATACATATGAACTGTACAAACAATACAAACTAGATCGACACACAATACAAACCTTACAAAAAAGAAAAAACAACCGCGTTGACTTTGGAGGCTCCATCCCTATATAGAGGGCTCCGTCCCAAAGTCAACTCGATTATTTTTTAGACATACAAACATTATAAACATGATGGACAAAAATGACAAACTAGACCGACAATCCATACAAACTAGAAAAACACCCGGGTTGACTTTGGAAGCTCCATCCCTATATAGAGGAGTTTCATCCAAAAGTCAACCAGATTATTTTTTAAATATAAAAAACATTATTAACATGGTAGACACAAATAATAAACATGATGCACAAAAATAACAAAGTTTACAAACATTATAAAAGAAACCGACAAACATTACAGAATAACAAAGCTTACGAACATTACAAAATAAACCGACAAACAGTACAAAGCATAGAAACCGTACAAAACATTACTAAAAATGACAAAGAAGAATGATAAACAATATAAACGGAATCGATACAAAAATTACAAAATATGTCAACAAATCACAAATCTAGCACTGTCGGCGGGAAATCTCTCCGTCGTCGATGGTCGTCGGAAAAGTTTCCTCCGGCTAGAAAAAAATCTCACTCTCTTTCTCTCTCTCTCGTACAGGATCTTTTGAGAGAACATCCCTATCCCCTACAAAAAAGGACCGTCAGGAGGAAGGCGCACCTGGTCGGCAGTTCCTTGGCCGGAGAAATCACAGCGCCGGCGGAGTTGCAGAGGTTTCGTCGAAAATCAGTTGTAGATGCAAAGAGATGAAACGTGCAAAAATAAATGATTTTTTAATTATAAATATTAAAAAAATAACCATGCAATTACTACATTACCCTTTCTTAAATTGAATTAATTGGAGCCATTGGATTTTAATGAACTTGAAGAGCTGCGATCGACTTAGGCAAGTGACTAAGGGACCGTCCCTAGTCACCTGATCTTAGCCCCATTTAACCCGACAGAAAAGAAGTATTGAAAGCTCGACTATCTTTTAGTTTCGTCATGTTCAGTTGCTTGAGAAACTAAGATGAAATTGATGTGAAGGGGTCGTTTGGAAGTTGCGATTGTTAAATAGATGTATTGTTGAGAATGCATGTATAATATTATACATGTATTGTCGAATTTGATGCATTGTAGAATACAACGTTTGGTATGTGTGATTGTGTATGTCGCATCAGCTAAAAGATGAGACAAAACAATCTCAACTCAACTATCTCAACAATCACAACTAAAAGTTGAGATATAACAATCACTCAAAATGAGTGATAGTTTATGTCACATCAGAGAAACAATCCATGTATTGTTTCTGCTAAAAAAACAACAAAAACAAAAAAATGATGCATTGTAAACAATACATGCATAATGACAATCTCAACAAAATTATCGGAACTTCCAAACGACCCGGAAGTTTCATGTTCAACGATGTTTTACTGTAGAGTTAACTAGTGGATTGGTTTTTGGCTGAGGATTAGTATTGTTACATTCTTAGATAACTGTATTGAGGGGATCAAATCTTGTTAGTTAAATGCTTGTCGCTTATGGTATGCTAGCTGCTTAGGAGCTATGAGTAGCTTTGGTTCTGATATCTGGTGACGTCTAGGTGGGGGAAACTCACTCAGCCAAAGAGAGCGCAATGAGATTCGCTCTGAAGTTGATGCAGAGTTCGAGGCTGGGGAGAAGATGTTTTTGGGAAAGAATAAGAAGGGTAAGAAGTTGCGAAATGATCAATTAGAAACCCAAAACCCGCCACTTTTTGGAGATGGGGTAACTGGGAAGCTACCCCGATTTGCTAATAAGATGACGACAAAGGTTTGTACTTCTTCTGTTGTATACATCTTGATCAGGAACAGGAAATGATCTATTTGGTAGACTTGTCTTTCACCAGGGAACCAGTGGTTTCCTGATCCTTATATGAGTACCGACCTTCTTGATTAATGAATATTTTTGTAGTGCAGGTTCGTACTTTTGCAATTGGGTGTTAGGTTTTTTCATTAGGCAACATTTTTACTTGAAATTTGAATGACAGATGGTTGTGCCACTGAGCTGCTTCTTTTGAATATTCTTCTTCCAACATGAATTCTCAGAATATTTCTCCTGGGATGAAGCTTTGGGGAGTAGTTGCTGAAGTAAATGAGAAGGACCTAGTGATTAGTCTGCCTGGGGGGCTGCGTGGATTAGTTCGTAACAATGATGCACTTGATTCTATTTTGGATGACGAATTTGAGGTAGAATAAGCTCTAGTACTTGTTATCTTTCCCTCAATTTTGCTGTCATTGCTTTTTTCATTCTTCTCATCTGATTTTTATTCTTGTCAGTCTGAGTTCGTTATTTTAACTTAACATTGCTTTTTTACTTAACAGGAAAGTGAAGGTTGCCTTCCCAGCATATTTCATGTGGGGCAGCTGGTTTCCTTCATTGTATTGCAGTTGGATGATGATAAAAAGGGGAAAAGAAAGATCTGGCTTTCTCTGTGCCTTTCATTATTGCACAAAGGGTTTTCACTAGATGCAGTTCAGGAAGGGATGGTATGTTGAACTTTGTGATTCTGCTGATAGTTGTTTCAGGATGACTGGTCTGCGTTCATGTTGATGTAGTGCTTTGTAACTGTGAGGTGGCATATGGAACAGTGTTAATCCCAGTGTTTGGGAATTGAGCATCTCAAGTGCCTTTTCTGTTATATGTGCTGTAAGGCACTCTCAAGGGTTTGGAAAGAAATGAACTAAAAGTTTGTTCACCATCGGTTTTTGTGTTGGGTTGATTGCTCAAATATGGTTGGTGTTGGTGACTGGTGCTGTCCCCGCTAGTATGAGAAAGGGCATCAGACAACTGTTCCATGCAGAGTTGCCAAGATTCGGCCACCGTTCCTTATTTAATATGGAGAGTTGGTTATATATGTTGCATAAGTAGGTCGTCTGATACATCTTGGGAAGCTTACTATTCTACAATAGAATCGTTGTGACCTTGTACTTTACCATGGGAGTCGCATAAATTATTTAAACAATAACTTGAAGTTTGTTGCATTCTTCTCATTTGAATTCACTAGAGCTATGGCTCTGGTTTGTATGAGCATGGCTTATGGAATTTATGGGTAGACCTTTGACTGAATGTTCGACTCTTACCAGGTGGATGAGGAAAGATCTCGAGTCTCACTTGGCATGAAAAACTTGGATACTCAAGGTGACCTTGACAGAAATGAAGATGGACCTATTGCAGGTGGAGGGGAAGACAGTGATTCAGCTGATGGCAGTGACTCCAATATGATAATTTTTCCTGGGAGTAATGTTGCTGAGAAACAAGATGCAGAGTCGGAAGATGAAGGTGAAGAACAAGCAATTCTTGCAGCAGCAGAATCAATGGCTTCCATTGGAAGTGAACCTTGATGACATGGATGAAGATAATGCAAACGATCAGATTAGTCATCACCAGGAGCACAATGATGAGCCAGAGTGCCAGACACTATATACAAAAATAAAAAGAAAAAGGAGAAAAGTAAAACGAGGGAAGAGAGGTCAGTTATTGATTGTGTTTTCTGATTTCCCTCAAACTGACCTAGTTACGCTGTCTTTCGGCGAGTGAAAAACCGGACCGTGTTTTTTTTATTTATTATAAATTTCTTCAGGGAGAAAGAGATTAGAGCTGCTGAAGAATGACTGCTGGAGAAGGACATACCAAGAACTGCTGATGAGTTTGAGAAGCTCCTTCGAAGCTCTCCTAATAGCAGTTTCATTTGGATAAAGTACATGGCACTGTTGATGTAGAGAAAGCTCGTGCAGTTGCGGAAAGGTAAAATCTTGTTCAAAATTGGTTCTTTTCATTCATACGGGAAAGGCAAAGAGAATAATACTTTCAGTAATTCTATATATCAGTTCAAAAGAGAATCAACGCTATATAAAAGATAAGCATGCAGTTTATTTTCACCAATCTCTGATTCTATTTGTTCGTGAAGTAAATTTCTGACTGCAGCCTGTCTATCTTCTTTATTGCAGAGCTCTGAGAACAATAAGTTTCCGGGAAGAGACTGAGAAGCTGAATATCTGGGTAGCCTACTTCAATTTGGAAAACCAGTATGGAATTCCCCCAGTGGTAATATATGAACCAGTTTCCCCGTTTTTTATTTATTGTTCTGTACTTTGTAAGATTGATAGTTGGGAAGCTTAAAAGTTTCAAAATAACTGTCTCAGGAGGCTGTGAAGAAATTGTTTCACCGAGCCCTGTAAGTTTGTGATTCCAAGAAGGTCCATCTGGCATTATTGGGTATGTATGAAAGGACCGAGCAGAATGAGCTGGCTGATGAGATTCTTGACAAAATGCTCAAGAAGTTTAAGCAATCGTGCAAGGTTGGTATCCTTGTTCATTGTTATTGCATTAATTCATGTCTTCAATAACACCTTACTTTTTTGTGTAATCTGCAGGTTTGGTTGATTAGAATGCGGAGGGTCATGAGCCAAGAAGAAGAAAAGGTTCAGTCAGTAGTGCAAAGAGCTATACTGAACCTTCCCCGGCATAAGCACATAAAGTTTATCCGGCAAGCAGCTCTCCTCGAGTTCAAAAATGGGCTTCCGGCCGTAATATGTTTGAAGGAGTTTTGAGGGAAGAGAACTGACTTGTGGAGCATTTATATTGACAAAGTAAGATTCTTCATGATGTGTTCCTAATAACAATCGTCTTGTATGGATATTCTTTAGTACCATGAATCATTTTCCATTCCATTGCAGGAAATCAAACTCGGAGATGCAGATGTTATTCGCTCATTGTTTGAGAGAGCAATTACACTAAGCCTTGCGCCTAAAAAGATGACAGTAAGCCATCATCTCGTTGAATCTGACAAATCACTCTTTTGCGGCCTTAACTATTGATCCTTATGTCAGTACATTACCTCAATTTGCAGTTCTTGTTCAAGAAGTATCTCGAGTATGAGAAGTCTGTGGGGGATGAAGAGAAAATCGAGGCTGTGAAACAGAAAGCACTGGACTATGCACGAACGGAACTAGTATGGTAACCACGTTGGTGGGATTTATGAATTCACTGTTTCGCTCTGCAACAGCATTCCAGCAGCAGGACGGGACATGGACAGCTAAGGAGAACCATAAGGTGTATTTCGAGGCGAAAATTCCGCTTTTTGTGAAGATGCCGTATCCCAAGACAAATTACTCTGCCCTGAGCAAAGAGCTGGACCATGGAGGATTTTCTGGTGGGATTTTTGCTAGTTTTGGCTCACATGTAGAATTTTGTCACGTGCATTTATTTAATAAAAATAATTATTTAATTATGGGTTGTCACGGGAGGGATTATGACGTGAGTAGTTTGCTAGGTTATAGGGTTATTTGTTTTATGTTCTCTATTTAAAGGAGATGTACAGAGTAAAAGGAATCAATCAAGTATAATCAGAAAAAGGTTTTACACACTTATGTGTTAATTAGGGAGGTTGGCTTTCCTCAAAAAAGCTTATGGTTCCGTTCTCGCCATTAAGAAGAACATTTCTCTTCTCAATCTATCTATCTATCCTTTCTCTTTTCTTCTTCCTATTCCAATTTTTCTCCCTAAATCATATTCTACAAAAGTGCACGTAACAAATTTCCATCCTTCACGTACCTGTACTAACAGCTAGGAATTTCAAATCCCCAATTCCTTTCAGCTCGACCGTTGGAGGAGAGCGGGACTCAATGGAAGAAGAAGAAGATTCAACTTGATCACTACTCACCGTTTTGATCAAGCTCAAACCAAACTCACCGTTTCATCACTTATTTCCCTTATGCTATGTCGTTTTTGCTTCTTCTTGGATGTACGTTTTCTTTTCTGGCAAGCTTGCCATTGTCTCCTTTTTCAAGCAAACAAACAACTTGTAGCAGCTCGTTGTCTTCTTCTGTAATGGCTTCTCTATAAGAGCCAATTCTGATCAATGAGAAAGGCTTTAAGCCTTAGGGTTTCAATCTTTGTTATGGTATCAGAGCCCTTGACCTAACCTTCTGCCGCCGCCATGGATCAACAACCTCCTCCAAACCCAGAACTACCTCCACAGAACCGACAGCAACCTCCACTTCAACCACAACCACAAAACCTTTACCAACTTGAAGATCCATTCTTTCTTCATGGATCTGAACAGCCTGGCCTTCTTTTGGTTAGTGAGAAGCTTACTTCCACTAACTACAACGATTGGAGCAGAGCCATGTACAATGCTCTTGCTGCCAAAAACAAACTTGGCTTTGTTAATGGTGTCATCACTGAGCCAGCCCCCACAGATCTCTTACATGGTGCTTGGGTTCGCAACAACACCATGATCCTCAGCTGGATCCAGCAGGCAGTTGATTCAGAGATCCGCAAGACAATCCTTTCAAGCAAGACAGTTGCTTATGCCTGGAAGAGTCTTCAGTCTAGGTATGTTTCTGGTGACCTTATTCGTGTTGCTGAGTTAGAAGAAGCCTTATCTTCCTTACATCAGGGTAACCAGACCATCACAGAATATTATGACAATGTCATTACTCTCAAAGATGAGTTGGATAATTACCAACCCTTGTTCCCTTGTGACTGCACCCCCACCAGCCATATTGAGTGTCGTGCCATGAAGAAAGTCTTAGAATATCATGATACAAACTATGTTATCAAATTTCTAAGGGGATTGAATGAAAACTATGCTGCTGTTAGAGCCCAAGTTCTCTTTGGGGAGGAACTTCCTACCATCAATAGTGTTTTTCAAAGGCTCCTACAACATGAAAGACAGATCTATGGCACACAGAAAGGGAAGCTGGTGGTTGCTGCTACATCAGATCCCTTAGCTATGGCTGCTCAAGGAGTTAACAGAAGATTTCCTCCAACTGGTAAAAGACCCTTTTGTACTCACTGCAAGAAAGAAGGTCACACCATGGACATCTGTTATCACATCCATGAATCAAAGGACATCCACTTCAACAATGAGGCCCAATGAGTGCACCTTTCGCAAAAGGCAAGGCCATACAGAGGATCGTTGTTATGAAAAACATGGTTTACCTCCTCACTTGGCTGCCAGATCTGCTACCTCTAATCCTAACAGAGGAAAGCAAACAGTTAATTCTGCTGTGGTTGAGCCAAATGAGCAGGAAGTCAAGTTAACAAAGAAGGATTATGACAGGATCATGGCTCTCATGAACAGCCAACATGGCCCTTCCTTCTCAGCAGCGGCTTTTATTTCCCAACCTCCATCTCCAGGTAAATTTCTTTGCTCCATTCCCAGCAAAGGTCAGACTTTCAAGAATCCAAATGACTGGATTCTGGACACAGGTGCTTCTGACCACATAACCTGTTCCTTGGCCTATTTATCTGACTATAAGACAATAGACAATGTCTTCATCACCTTACCAACAGGTGTTCAGATTCAAGCCACACACATTGGCACTGCTCATTGCAGTTCTTCCCTTACCCTTGAAGGGGTTTTATTTGTTCCCCACTTCACTTTCAACCTTGTTTCTGTGAGCAAGCTCACCACAAGCAAACCCATTCACTTAACATTTTATTCTGACTTTTGTCTCATACAGGACCTAGTGATGAAGAGAATGACTGGTTCTGCTAGGCTGATCAATGGTCTTTACCACTTAGAAGTAGATTGCAAACCTAAACTCCTCACTGCTGCTAGGGCCACTGTTTTTGATCTTTGGCACGTTAGGTTAGGGCATGTTTCCCATACCAGAGTACCCTATCTCTCTCAATTTTGTACCTCCATACACACTTTTAAAGATCAACTCTGTGATGTGTGTCACTTTGCAAAGCAAATGAGACTTTCTTTTCCAATCAGTCAAACTGTAACACAGAGATGTTTCCAGTTGCTTCATGTGGATATTTGGGGACCAAATTCCTCTCCTACTTATGATGGTTTTAAGTATTTTTTGACTATTGTTGATGACTTTTCTCGAATGACTTGGATCCTTCTTCTTAAACTCAAGTCAGAAGCAAGACCAAAACTCATTCAATTTTGCAATCAAGTTCAAACTCAATTCAACCAATCTGTCCAAAAGATCAGAAGTGATCAGGGGAAGGAATTCCAGATGGATGATTTCTTCCAATCCACTGGCATTGTTCATGAGCTATCTTGTGTAGAAACACCCCAGCAAAACAGCAGGGTTGAGAGAAAGCATCAGCACATTCTTGCTGTTGCAAGAGCTCTCATGTTTCAAGCTGCTCTCCCTGCTGATTTATGGGGTGAGAGTGTCAAACATGTTGTCTATCTCATTAATCGTGTTCCTACTCCTATTCTAGACAACAATATCCTTCTGACCTCACAGACTTAAAGGTTTTTGGTTCTCTTTGTTATGCTAGCACATTAGCAAGTCATAGAGCCAAATTTGCTCCCAGAGCTAGGAAAGGTGTTTTTCTTGGTTTTGTCCCAGGTATCAAGGGTTACAAAGTGTATGACCTGTCTTCCCATGACACTTTTGTTTCAAGGGATGTGATATTCTATGAAAATCACTTCCCTTTTCAAAATCTTTCCACTTCCTCCTCTGACTCTCCTAGTCTTTTTCCCACCCCATCACCTTATACTCAACCAGAAGATATCCCCCCAACCACATCAGCACAATCCCTTCCCCCTACTTCCCCCACCCTTTTCTCCTGATCCTCCTTCTCTCCCACCTTCTCCTGCTCATACACCTTCCTCACCAGACCACCCTCCTACTCAATCTCCAACTCCACCCCCTCCACCCCCTCCCACCTTCCCCACACTCAGACGATCAGACATACATTCTAAACCACCTGCTCATTTAACAAAAGATTACCATTGCTATCTACTTAAACAAGTAGGCAAACTATGTCATTTTTCACATCAACAGGTTAAAGACAAGAGGTATTCCCTTTTCTCCTCTCTTTCCTACAACTCTCTATCCCCTGAATACAAACACTTTGTTCTTACCTTATCTACCTTTCATGAGCCTAACACTTACAAAGAAGCAGCACTATCAGAACAGTGGAATGCTGCTATGCAACATGAGATAGGTGCCCTGCTAAAAAAAAAAAAAAACTTGGGGTGTGGTAAACTTACCTCCATGAAAGAAAACCATTGGGAACAAGTGGGTTTACAAAGTGAAGCTCAATTCAGATGCTTCTTTGGACAAGTTTCGTGCCAGGCTAGTTGCTAAAGGTCATACCCAACAAGAAGGGGTTGATTATCAGGACACATTTGCTCCAGTAATCAAGATGACTCAGATTGTTCTTAGCTATTGCAGCTCAGAGGAATTGGCATATTCACCAGTTGGATGTGAATAATGCCTTCCTCCATGGTGATTTAAAGGAAGAGGTTTATATGTCCCTCCCAAAAGGATATACACCACCTCCTAGTTTTACTAATCCTGTTTGCATGCTCAACAAGTCACTCTATGGCTTGAAACAAGCATCACGTCAATGGTTTTCTAAGCTGACTGATAAGCTCCTCACTTACAAGTTTGTTCAAAGTCAGGCTGATCATTCATTGTTTTATAAGGCAAAATCTACAAGCTATACTTGCATTCTCATCTATGTGGATGATCTTGTTTTAGGAGGGAATGATTTGCAAGAAATAGAAACTCTCAAAACAGCATTGCATTCAAAATTTAGCATCAAAGACATGGGAACTCTGAAATTCTTCCTTGGTATCGAGGTGGCCAGGAATTCAACTGGGATCCACATTTCTCAAAGGAAATACCTTGGAGATCATTGAAGAAGGCAATCTTATTGATTCAAAAACAGCCTCCACTCCAATGGATTACAAGTTACATTTGTCTACAGAATGTTCTACACCCTATGAAGACCCTGAATTCTACAGAACATTAGTGGGAAAGCTCATCTATCTCACCACTACCAGGCCTGATATAAGCTATGCTACTCAGCAATTGAGCCAGTTCATGGCCAACCCTAGCATTCAACATTTCAAAGCTGTTTAGAGAGTCATCTGTTACCTCAAATCTGCTCCAGCAATAAGCCTCTTCTTTCCCAAGCAAAATTCCTTTCATTTGAAGGCTTTCTCTAATTCCGACTGGGCTGCTTGCATTGATACTCGCAGGTCAATTTCTGGATTCTGTGTTTATCTGGGTGATTCTCTTATCTCTTGGAAGTGCAAGAAACAGAAGACAGTCTCTCGCTCTTCATGTGAAGCTGAGTACAGAGCCCTCGCTTTCACCTCCTGCGAACTTCAATGGCTCCTTTATTTACTCAAGGACTTTCAAGTCCCTCATGCTCGGCCTGCTACTCTCTTATGTGATAATCATAGCGCTATATACATTGCACAAAATCCAACCTTCCACGAACGCACCAAGCACATCGAATTGGA